GAGAGAGAGAGAGAGAGAGAGAGAGAGAGAGAGAGAGAGAGAGAGAGAGACAGAGAGACAGAGAGACAGAGAGAGAGAGGGAGAGAGAGAGAGAGAATATAGGATTAGCACTATGGAACGCCAAACAATTTTCCGTTTCATCTTGTGCACAAACCAACTATACAGACAGGTTTGTTTTGCAGCATTGGATGAGAAGCATTATGACTGATTCCGGTATTTTCTCACTTTGATACAAGAAACCATGAGGTATCAGTCTCGTTTGAATAATGTTTCATTGACGGACTATCAAAGATCAAAGATGCTGCAACGATTTCAGTCCATGATTCAATTAGGAAGAAATTGAACTTCTCTAAGTGATGGTGGGATAATGTATTTTTCGTTCGCAGTTGGCGAGCAGACCTCTCGCGCCAATAAATCGATAGCAATTTGGTGCGAACATAACTATCCGTGAGTCAAAAGCCTCGATGATATAGATATAGATAGATATAGATAGGTCACATAAGAATTCAATTTGAATCCATCTCCTTGCTTTATGTAACAGTTATCCCAAGGCGAATGTGTTACAATTGTGGAAGGACCGGACCCAGACCGAACTATTCCATCGAGGAAATTCTGTGCGGATGAGAGACCGAATGACATTCAATCCGGAGCAAGTACACTAATTGTGCTATTCAATGATTCAAACCTTCAAGGATCTGGTCAATTCAGAGCTAGTTTTTCATGTGAGTTATTCGAAGCAATTACCGTCTGGATCATGTTCAAACTGATTAAACTTTACCAATTAGACTTTTGCTTGGGAGTGGTGTATTATCATCTTTATCTCAAGGTTCATGGACAAACTCGGCTACAGACTGTCACCGCTGTCCGTGAACCCATAGGCGTTAGGATGACGAAAGAGAGAGAGAGGGCGGGGTGGGAGGGGGGGGGCGGGGTAGGTGGAGCGGGAGAGCAGAAAAGTTTGCCCAAGTTGTGTTTTTATCCGGAACCGTCAATTTAAAGTGTCCAGTTGCTGCATTTTGGCTCCCCTTTTTTGATTTACCAAACACATGTATATATTTCACATTTAAATCACAGTTACGTGTGAGTAGTGTTGTGGGATAATTGATATCAATTGATTAGGACTGATCATCTTTCAGACTTCACCTTCACGTACATGGCTCAGCGTTTTGTTTTATTTAACCATACACTCGGAAGCATCAGACCCGAGTTTCGCTCTTACTAGAGCTTATCAGTCCTGTCCGGGATTTGAACTCCGGACCGATCGCTTGAAAGGCATGTGAGTGTTAACACTATGCCAACCAACTCATCCCAGGGCTGAATGGAATCGTCAATGCATTTTTGTTCAGGTGTCGTCTTATAGTATAGTGTATGGTTGACTAGAAGAGCTGGGAAATGTGCGCGAAGATGAAGTCCGAAGGACGGTCGGTTATAAGCAATCAAAATGTATATCAGTTTCCGGTGAATGTGGTGATTTGATTGAGACATGGGTGGGTTCATCATGAACGAAATTGAACGTCTATAGTTCAGATGTATTAGGTAATTCATACTGAGCCCGGACACATACTGCAAAGTATGAAATTTTCGGGTGCTATTTAGTTGCATGTTCACCCGATGAACTGGTGTCCGATGAGGCAATGGGTGATCACACATCACACGTTCGCCTGAATCATCTTTGGGTATGCAGGATTGTGGTGTGGAAAGCCGGCCGCTTTGAATTGACCTTTCACTGGTCTTGTCACAGTCAGTCAGTCAGTCAGTCGTTGTTGCAGGATAGACTTCACGCACGATGGCAACCACATTCGATATCTAGCTAAGGCTTTCGGGTCGGAGTGTTCGAGGAACATGCAAAAATTTCAAATCTTATTTCTGAAAAAAAAAGCCAACGCAAATCGGTTCAACTGCAAAAAAAAGAGCAAAAAGCGTTTCATTGTGAAGGTTATACTACTAATAACACAGTGCTTTCGATAGATAATAGTGTTCACCGACGGTTCGGTTACCGTGAGTAAACTTTCTTAAGGCTGGTCATTACAATCAAATGACTCAGAGGAAAGAATCACCACCAATCAAGAGGCTGTATATCGTTGTATGTGCTGGAGTACTTTCGACTTTTCCTAGTCTCAAGTGTGATCTTCGGTTATGGCACGAAGAGCGATCGCTGAATCTCATTCTAAAATTATAACTTTCATAATAAAGCACAACAAATGGTGCCTCGGTTTGTCGATACACTCCTAACATCCTTTGGTCCTGATTTATTATAAAGAGCGTTTTCTTCAAACCGGATAGACCAAGAGTGGACAGGCTTATGAGTTGTGATCAACCATTATCACTGTGGACACAGTTTCATCGGGTGAAAATACAACTAAATAGCAGCTGGAAAAAAGAACGATGTCAGCGGTGTATTTTCATCTTAGTGACTTATCTGATAGATGCACCATAACCTTGGATTTCGACGAAGGCAGCCGACTGGATGTATGTTAAATCGGCTGTTTCTCACCTCATAGGCTGATCAACCTTTGCAGTTTGTTTTCCTAGTCAACTACGAGGAACCGAAGCCAGTGGTGTGGTCTAATAGTTCACATGGTAGAGAGCATAAACTGTTACGGGGGCGTACATCGCGTCCCACCAGTGGCTCCGAAGTTTACGCGCATATCGTGCCGTTTCTTAATTTAATCATACCAGATTATCTAGTATCCGAAAACACCACTAAATATCCCCTGAAATTGTTAGTGAACAGTGATTTGATTGGATGTTCCGTGTTTGATGCCCTGTTATTTTCTCTGTAGCTAAACCGCGGGAGACAATGCAACCGGACGAAGAACTGCCAAGTAAGTTCGCGTACTATTTTGGCAACAAAACTACCCATTCAGTTTTACCTTAACTCTCACCGGCGTTGAGTGCATTCAGCTTCCGCATCACAAATGCACCTAGGGAGACACTTGAGCAAAGAAAAATTTAGGCATCAGTTCACAGGGTTGTTGAAACCGAAATTATGATCTTGCAGTTTCATTAAAATTAAGGTGTGCCCCTTGATCGGATTCGAGTCAGTAGAAAGTGTATTGTGCGCCTATTCCTGAGTGCAGAAATGTTTGGTTTTCATATTGTTATTGGAACTAATCTTGGTGACGTGTCATAGAGTGCATGGTGCTTTCGCAAGCCACCGATGGCAAGCTCAGTTAGTTAGGTGAAAAAGCTCATGTAAAACGGATCAATATGCACGGTTGTTTTTCGATTTTCAACTTCGAGAGTCACACTGACCTCACCTGGTAGAGAGAGGCAGCTGCGATTGACGGACGGTACATACAAAGGGACCGAATCGACCAATATTTTTACGATACTTTCCAAAGCGTAATTGATGAGAAAAAAAGCTACTGGTCAGTGACAGTGTGATCGGTTTGTTGGACCCGTGCATACTTTGTTTTCTCTTTATACCTGCGATAATCGATCGACACCTCGAATTTCTCTCATTCGTAATGAGATAAAAATACCCTGACACCCGGACCCCGTAAAACAAGGAATGTCATTATTAACCAGGGTAAAATTGTCTGTTGAGTCGGTATAAGTGAATGTGTAAGAATGTTTCCGTTGTAATCATTTTATTCAACAATTATTGGACATTGGTTTTAAAACACTCTTCAAAACACTCGGTGTTATCTGCCACCCACTGCCAGGATAGGTGATTGCCATCGGTTTTTGATCGAATGTTGTTTTACACAATTTGATGTGACGTACAGTTGAAGAAGAAGAAGAAGAAGTGAACTTCATAGTCACAATGAGCTACTTTTGACCACAGCCGGTAAAGTAAACCTTGGCTGACGACCTGACAGAGTGAAGAGTGCTCAAAACGCCCCACGTAGCTCATAATGGGAACACAAACTGGCAAACAAGCTCGTTTTCAGCGTCTTAATTATTCCATTACAACACAATAAATATGACTAGTAACAAAGAGGGATTGAAAAGTGCAGAAAGTGAAATGAATTAAAGTATTTAACAGTTTATATCATAATTGGTACCCAATGATCATTTACTCCGATATCTCACGACAGGTCACTTGTCAGCAATCCGGCCATGGAAGATTGGATGCTTGCAAAAAT